GGGAAAATGGCCAACCAGAAATAGTTATATTGTCAGCCTGGAATTTGCTAAAAATCTACTTTTAGGCTATTAAAACAAGAAAATCTTAAACATAGGCATATAGAAAAGATGAAAGAAAAAGGTTGGAAAAAGATATATTGGGGAAATACCAACCAAAAGAAAGCTGATGTACCTGTATTGGGTGCATATATATTTAGGATAGTTAGCTCTTCCTGCTGAATTGATCCCTTTACCATTATGTAATGGCCATACGCAAATCAATAAACGTAATCCAGCATATAAACAGAACCAAAGACAAAAAACCACATGATTATCCTCAATAATGTCGAAAAAGGCCCTTTGAAACAAAATTCATCAGCACCTTCATGCTAAAAACTCTCAGTAAATTCGTATTGATGGAACGTATGCTCAAAATATAAGGCCTATTTGTGACAAACCCACCACCAAATATCATACGAATGGCACTGGAAGCATTCCTTTGAAATCTAGCCGGGGATGCCTCTCTCACCATCCTTCCTAGTTTTGGAAGTTCTGGTAGGCAATCAGGCAGAGAAGAATAAAGGTATTCAGTTAGGAAAGAGAAGAAGTCAAATTGTCCCTGTTGGCGATCTGATGTATAGTTGAACCCCATTGTCTCAGCCCAAAATCTCCTTTAAAGCTGATAAGAAACTTCAGCAAAGTCTCGGATCAATCAAGGTGCATCAGCTTCTTATACACCACAACGACAGAGAGCAAAATCATGAATGAACTCCCATCACAATAGCTCAAGAAATAAAATACCTAGGAACCAACTTACAAAGGATGTAAGGCTCTTCAAGGAGAACACAACCCTGCTCCAGTGGAAATAAAAGAAGGACACAAACGAAGAACATACTGCTCATGGATGATGGAAGATCAACTATTGTGAAAATGCGCATACTGCCCAGTAATTAAGATCCAAGCCATTCCTCATGTAAGCACCGAATGGAAACTTTTTCACAGAATGGAAAAAACTGCTCTGTTCATGTGGACAAAAAAAGACCTGCATGCCAAGACAATCCCAAGCCAAAAGAACAAGCTGGAGGATCATGCTACCTGACTTCAAACTATACTACAAGGCTACAGTAAAAAACGATGTATGGTACAAAAACAGAGATATAAGAAATGAGGGAGTGTAAACAGTAGCGATTTTCCAATAAAACGAGAAATGGGGAAAGGATTCCTATTTAATAAATGGCGCGATGGGAAAATTGGCAGCCCATAATTAGCAAAGCTGAACTGGATGCGTTCCTTACTCCTTTAGAAAATAATTCAAGATGGATTAAGACAGACTTAAATTTAAGGATCTAAAACCAATAAAAACCCTAGAAGAAATACCTAGGTAATACCAATTCATTCGACATAGGCTGGGGCAAGGATTCATATCTAAACCACCAACAAAAGCATGGCAACAAAAGCCAAATTGACAAAGGGATCTAATTAAACCTAAAGAGCTTCTGCACGTAAGAAACTACCAATCCCAAGAGTTGAATCAGGCAACCTACAAGTGGGAGAAAAAATGTTTGCAATCTACTCATCTGCAAAGGGCTAATATCATCCAGAACCTATAAAGAACTCAAATCAGATTACATAGAAAAAACAACCCCATCAAAAAAGTGGGCAAAGGATTATGAACAACACCTTCTCAAAAGAAGACATGCATACAGCCAACAGACACATGAAAAAATGGCTCATCGTCACGCAACTAATCAGAGAAATGCAAATCAAAACCACAATGAGATACCTCTTCACACCAGTAGAATGGCAATCATCTAAAAAATCAGGAAACAAAGGTGCTGGAGAGGAGATGTGAAGAATAGGAACACTTTTACAGCTGTTTGGTGGGATGTAACTATTTCATCCTCATTTGTGAAGACCAGTGGGGTGGCGTTCCCCTCAAGGATCTAGAACTAGAAATACCCATTTGGACCCAGCCATCCCATTACTGGGGGATATACCCCAAAGGATTCAGTCCATGCTGCCCTAAAGACCACAATGCACACGTATGTTTATTGCGGCACTATTCACATAAGCAAAGCTTTTGGAAACCAACCCAAATGTCCATCAGGTGACAGACTGAATGGTGGTACCTATACACCTATGGAAGAGCATGCAGGCCATAAAAAAAGGGATGATAGTTCCGTGTCGTTTGGGTAGGGACCATGGATGCAAGCTTGGAAAAACCATCCCAATTCCTCAAGCCCAACTATCACAACATACAGAAAACAATACCGCATGTTCTCACTCATAGGTGGGAATTGAACAATGAGATCACTTGGACACAGGAAGGGGATCATCACACACCAGGTCCTATTGTGGGAGGAGGAAGGAGGGATAGCATTAGGCGATATACCTAATGTAAATGATGAGTTAATGGGTGCAGCACACCAACATGGCACATGTGTACATATGTAACAAACGTACACGTTGTGCACATGTACCCTGGAACTTAAAGTATAATTAAAAAGAAAGAAAGCTGATGTAGCTATATTTATCAGACAAAATAGATTTTCAGGCAAAAAGCATAACAAAAAATAAAGAGGGTCACTACATTATGGCTAAAGGTTCACCAAGAAAGTGCTCAACCTTTTCTTATTAACTTACTTTAGTATATTTAATTTTTTTTATTTAATAAATACATATGTATGAAAAGTACATTGGGCAAAAAATTAACAGAACCATAAGAAAAATAGGTAAATCTAGCTTTATATTGGAAGGTTTTAATGTAACTCAGTAATTGCTAGATTGAGCAGTCTGATAATAAGTAATGTTTCTGATAATAAGAAAATTTAAGAGGCTGTGCATAGTGGTTCACACCCATAAACCTAGCACTTTGGGAGGCTGAGGCAGGAAGATCACTTGAGCCCAGGAGTTTGAGGCCAGCCTGGGCAACAAAGTGAGATCCTGTCTCTCCAAAAAAATTGAAAAATTAGCTGGGCATGGTGGTGTGTGCCTGTGGTCCCAGCCACATGGGAGGCTGAGGCATGGGGCTCACTTGAGCCCAGGAGATTTAGGCTGCAGTGAGCTGTGTTCATGCCACTGCACTCCAGCCTGGGCAACAGAGAAAAACAAAATGGAAATTTTGTCTACATCATTAACAGGCTTGATCTCATAGGCATGTATAGAACATCACACTAAATAACTGCATAATGCACATTCTTTGCAAGCTTCTATGGGGGAGTTGCAGAAACTATGTAGTAGGCCTTAAATCACATTTCAACCACTATGTTCCTTGACCACCATGCAATAACAAAAAGATACTGGAAAAATCCTCGTATTTTTGGAAATTAACAAAAGAGTTAACTAATTTAAAAATCGTAATTGGTGGGGCGCAGTGGTTCACACCTGTAATCCCTGCACTTTGGAAGGCCAAGGCGTGTGGATCGCCTGAGGTCAGGAGTTCGAGACCAGCCTGGCCAACATGCTGAAACCCTGTCTCTACTAAAAATACAAAAATTAGCCAGGTATGGTAGTGGGCACCTGTAATCCTAGCTACTCGGGAGGCTAAGGCAGAAGAATGGCTTGACCCTGAGAGGTGGAGGTTGCAGTGAGCTGAGATTGCGCCATTGCACTCCAGCCTGGGTGACAAGAGTGAAATTCCATCTCAAAAAAAAATAAGAATAATAGTAATAGTTTTAAAATGTTGTTTAATATAAAAAATTAAGAAATGTAGATAAAGTAATACCTAAAGGAAAATTTATGATTGCAGTGAGAGAAGAGGAGGAGCTGAAAGTTAATGTGCCAAGTATCTGGTTTAAGTAGTTAAAAAAAAAGAAAAACAAAATAAGTCAAAAGAAAGTAAAAACAAAAAATGATAATAAAGATCTAGAGGAAAATAAACATACAGTTGAGAGGAATGAGTTAGAGACATTATTGTACATGCTTCAGAGATTAAACAGATTGCAGGAAGATATTGTGAATAACTTTATGGTGATATGCTGATATATTTTTAGAACTTTGGTGAGATTAATACAATTTTAATATTTAACTTACAAATATTTACTCAAGGAGAAATACAAAATCCAAATATTCCTTTAATTATTATGGAAACTGAATCAAGAACAAAAATCTTCCCACAAATTAATTACTAGGCTTTTATGTTTTACTGGTGAGTCCTACCAAACATTCAAGGAACAAATATTTCAGTCTACAAACTATTCCAGAGTATAAGAAAAGAGGGAACACTTTCCAACTCTATTATCTTAATATCAAAACCTGGCAAGGACAGTCTACAGAAAATGTTTTAAAATTGCAAGACATTCTTAATTGTGGATAAAAATGCAAAAATTCAGGCCAGGGACGGTGGCTCATGCCTGTAATCCCAGCACTTTGGGAGGCCGAGCCAGGTGGATCATTTGAGGTCAGGAGTTCAAGACCAGCCTGGCCAACATGGTGAATCTCATCTCTACTAAAAATACAAAAATTAGCCCAGCATGGTGGTGGGTGACTGTAATCCCAGCTACTTGGGAGACTGAGACTCTCTAAGAGAAACGCTTGAACCTGGGAGGTAGAGTTTGCAGTGAGCCGAGATCACACTTCCGTACTCCAGCCTGGGTGACAGAATGAGACTCTGTCTCAAAAAAAAAGGCAAAAAATTCCCAATAGAATAATAGCAACTTGAATCTAATAATGTTTAAAAAGTGAATGCATCATGACCAAGTTAGGTTTATCCCAGAGATTCAACAATTGTTCTTTTTGGTGTTTTGTTTTGTTTCGTTTTGTTTTTGAGACGGAGTCTTGCTCTGTCATCCAGGCTGGAGTGCAGTGGTGTGATCTCAGCTCACTGCAACCTCCGCCTCCCAGATTCAAGCAGTAATCCTGCCTCAGCCTCCCAAGTAGCTGAGATTACAGGTGCATAACAGCACACCCAGCTAAGTTTTGTATTTTTAGTACAGACGGGGCTTCACCATATTAGCCAGGATTGTCTCGATCTTCTGATCTCGTGATCTACCTGCCTTGACCTCTCAAATTGCTGGGATTACAGGCGCGAGCCACTGTGCCTGGCCAGCAGTTGTTTAATATTTAGAAATTGACATTAGTCTGAGTGGAGCAAGTGAACTGAGTGGTTGTGTAGTCACGTCTCAGAAACTGGTTGCGCTAGCAGCATGGTTGGCCAACTGACTGAAGAGCAGATTGCAGAATTCAAAGAAGCTTTTTCACTATTTGACAAAGATGGTGATGGAACTATAACAACAAAGGAATTGGGAGCTGTAATGACGTCTCTTGGGCAGAATCCCACAGAAGCAGAGTTACAGGACATGATTAGTGAAGTAGATGCCCAATGGTAATGGCATAGTTGACTTCCGTGTATTTCTGACAATGATGGCAAGAAAAATAAAAGACACAGACAGTGAAGAAGAAATTAGAGAAACATTCAGTGTGTTTGAGAAGGATGGCAATGGCTCTATTAGTGCTGCAGAACTTCACCATGTGATGACAAACCTTGGAGAGAAGTTAACAGTTGAAGAAGTTGATGAAATTATCAGGGAAGCAGATACTGATGGTAACAGTCAAGTAAACTAAGAAGACTTTGTACAGATGATGTCAGCAAAGCGAAGACCTTGTACAAAATGTGTTAAATTTCTTGTACAAAATTGTTACTTGCCTTTTTTTTGTCACTTATCTGTGAAAGGTTTCTCCCTACTGCCAAAAAAAAAAAATGCATGTATAGTAATTAGGACTTCATAAACATAAATAAATAAAACAATTACAATTTGAAAAGTAAAAATTGACTAAGGTAATTTATTCCAGTAACAGATTAAAGGGGGAGAATATGCTTCTTTCAATGGATACAGAATTAGCATTTGTATCTTCATGACTTTTTAAAAAGTTCCTAGGATAGAAGGGAATTTTCATTACCTAATAATAAAATATCTCTACAAAATCCAACAGTAAACATTATAATTTTAATTGGGATTCCTTGAAAGTATTCATTCCCTTAAGATGAGGAGCAAGACAAGGGAGCCCACCGTCACTTCCAGTCAGTGATGTAGTGGGAGGGACGTCCTCGCCAGTAAAGTAAACCAAGACAAGGAAATGACATAGGATCAGAAAGGAGAAGGCAGATCTGTCATTATTCTCAGACAACATATTTGATTGTAAACCCAAAAAGAATGTTCAAATAGATTATTGGCTTTATCAGAGAATTTTCCAAAATCAATTGCATTTCTATATTTCTGCACCAATGGGTAGAGCATGTGATTACAGAAAAGATACACTTTACATACCTAGGAATAAATCTAACAAAAGATATGTAAGACCTGTGATTAAAATATATACACACACACACACACACACACACACACCCCTTATCAAGAGACACTTTAAGAAATTAATGGAGAGGCCTACATGTTTGTGGATTAAAAGTTACAGTTTGTGGCCTGGTGCAGTGACTCATGCCTGTAATCCACATACTTTGGGAGGCCAAGGGGGATTACCCAAGCTCCCGAGGGGTTCAAGACCAGCCTGGGCAACATGGCAAAACCCATCTCTACTAAAAATGCAAAAAATTAGCTGGGCGTAGTGGTGCATGTCTGTAGTCCCAGCTTACTCAGGGGACTGAGGCACAAGAATTGCTTGAACCCAGGAGGTGGAAGTTGCAGTGAGCTGAGATCACACCGCTGTACTCCAGCCTGGACAACAGAGCCAGACTCTGTCTCCAAAAAAAAAAAGTTACAGTTTGGTAAAGATGTCAGTTTTCCCTAAAATTGATTTGTATATTTGAGAGGGTATTAGTTGTTTATTTTTGTTTTTTGAAATGTATATGAAAGAGAGAAGAATCCTTATACTCCTATAAAGAATGGGGATGCCAGTAGGGGGCTGTGTGTGACTTGTCTTAACCAGATTACAAGAATTAGCATCAAGCTAACATGCTTGAGAGAGTGTGATATTGACACCAAATAGAGAAACCTAAAACTAGTCTATATATAGGAAATAACTTACGACCAAGATGCATTGCAGTTAGAGGAGGAAAGGATAGACTTCAATAATAACGTTAGGACAATCAGTTATCATGTAGGAAAAAATGGAATTAGATCTGTGCTTCGAACTGTACACAATTTCAGGTTGCATTAAAGACTTAAATATGAAAAGCAAAAGTGTAAATCTTTTAGAATACTTTAGAGGACCAGATCATTACAGTCACAGTAAAAGGAAAGGGCTTCTCAAATCAAAACCAAAAAGTGCAAACCATAAAGGTAAAAACTGATACATTTGACTTGGTTAAAATTAAGAACTTCTAAGATGCCATGAAGATATTGTGGGAGGTTTTTTTCCCCCTTCGTTTCTTATTCATCAGAGATAGATTCTGAAGATAATGTTATCTTGAGTTTGCTTTGAAAATACTCCAGGAAGTGGTTGGCCGGGTGCGGTGGCTCAAGCCTGTAATCCCAGCACTTTGGGAGGCCGAGATGGGCGGATCATGAGGTCAGGAGATCGAGACCATCCTGGCGAACACGGTGAAACCCCGTCTCTACTAAAAAATACAAAAAACTAGCCGGGCGAGGTGGCGGGCGCCTGTAGTCCCAGCTACTGGGGAGGCTGAGGCAGGAGAATGGCATAGACCCGGGAGGCGGAGCTTGCAGTGAGCTGAGATCCGGCCACTGCACTCCAGCCTGGGCGACAGAGCAAGGCTCCAAGTCAAAAAAAAAGAAAATACTCCAGGAAAAAAATGTGAAGAGATGGAACAAATGGTAGGGCGTTGATCATTATCAAAGCTAGATGATGAGAACATGGGAGTGTATTATATTGTTTTATTTTTTATGTATGTTTGAAATTTTTTATTTTAAAAACCTTTATCAGGGCCGGGTGCATTGGCTCACACCTGTAATCCCAGTACTTTGGGTGACCAAGGAGGGAGGATCATTTGAGTCCAGGAGTTCCAAACCCGCCTGGACAACATAGGGAGGCCTGGTCTCTACAAAAATTTTAAAAATTAACCAAGCCTGGTGGCACATGCCTGAGGTCCCAGCTGCTCAGGAGACTGAGGTGAGAGGATCACTTGAGCCCAGGAGGTCGGGGCTGCAATAAGCTATGATTATGCCACTGCACTCCAGCCTGGACAACAGAGTTAAGACCCTGCCTCAAAAAAAAAAAAAAAAAAAGTTGTTTGTTTTGTGTGTGTGTGTTTTTAAATAATCCATCCTGTTTTTATGGTGACTGTCCTGGATTTTCTAAAAGTATTCTAATATTTTTAAAAAACCATATCTGGGCCAGGTGTGGTGGCTTGTACCCATAAACCCAGCACTTTGGCAGGCTGAGACAGCAGGCTCACTACTTGAGCCCAGGAGTTTTAGACCAGGATGGGCGAAATAGGGAGATTCCATCGCTACAAAAAAATAGAAAAAATATTAACTAGGCATGGTGGCACATGCCTGTGGTCCCAGGTACTCAGGAGGCTGAGGCCAGAGGATCGTTTGAGCCCAGGAGGTTGGGGCTGCAAGTAAGCCATGATCATGCCACTGCACTCCAGCTTGGGTGACAGAGCAAGACACTGTCTCGAAAATAAATACATATAAATAAATAAATAACCTTTTCTGAAAAGATCACTTGTTAAGTACATGTCTAAATACAATCTAATTTTTTTCCTGAGTAGCACTTATAAATTAATAAATTACAAAACAATCTCCTTTAAAAAATACCAGGCAGGGCACAGTGGCTAACACTTGTAAAGTCAACACTTTGGGAGGCCAAGGTGGGAGGATTTCTTGAGCCCAGGAGCTCCAGACCAGGCTGGGCAACATGGCAAAACTCTGCCTCTGCAAAAAATTTAAAAGGTAGCCCAGGCATGGTGGCACATGCCTGTGGTCCCAGCTACTCAGGAGGCTGAGGTGGGAGGATTGCTTGAGCCCCTAAGGTTGAGGCTGTAGTGAGCCATGATTCTGCCACTGCACTCTAGCCTTGGCAACAAAGCAAAACCCTGTCTCAAAAAGCCATAGAGTGAAGACACAAGTCACAAACTGGGTGAAGATGTTTGTAATACATAAAAAGCAAAAAGTTAGTATCCAGATATTTAAGCAAAGAACTTCTAAAATTAAATAAGCAGTTTCTTAGATATGACGTCAAAAGCATAAGCAACAAAAGAAGAAAATAGACAAACTGGACATGCTCAAAAATTTAAAATTTCGTGCTTCAAAGGACACTATCAAGGAAGTAAAATAACAATCCATGAAATTGAGAAAATATTTACAAATCACGTATATGACAAGGGACTTGTATCTAAAATACATACAGAGCACTTACAATTCAATATGACCCAGCCATCCCATTACTGGGTATATATACCCAAAGGATTATAAATCATGCTGCTATAAAGACACATGCACACGTATGTTTATTGCGGCACTATTCACAATAGCAAAGACTTGGAATCAACCCAAATGTCCATCAGTGACAGACTGGATTAAGAAAATGTGGCACATATACACCATGGAATACTATGCAGCCATAAAAAAGGATGAGTTTGTGTCCTTTGTAGGGACATGGATGCAGCTGGAAACCATCATTCTTAGCAAACTATCACAAGAACAGAAAACTAAACACTGCATGTTCTCACTCATAGGTGGGAACTGAACAATGAGATCACCTGGACTCGGTAAGGGGAACATCACACACCGGGGCCTATCATGGGGAAGGGGGAGGGGGGAGGGATTGCATTGGGAGTTATACCTGATGTAAATGACGAGTTGATGGGTGCTGACGAGTTGATGGGTGCAGCACAGCAACATGGCACAAGTATACATATGTAACAAACCTGCACATTATGCACATGTACCCTAGAACTTAAAGTATAATAATAAAAATAAAATAAAAATAAAAAAATAAAAAAGATGACTCAAGTTTAAAGATGAGCAAAGGAACTGAGCAGATGTTTTGCCAAAGAAGATATACCATGCTAAGAAGCATATAATACGATGCTAAATACCCTTAGACACTGGGGAAATAAAACCACAGTGGTCAGCAGCCACCAGCTTGGAGGATCACTTGAGCCGAACAGTTTGAGACCAGCTAGGGTAACACAACAAGACCCCATCTGTACCAAAAGAAGAAAAAGAAAAAACACAGCAGTGTATCACTTCATGCCCACCAGAATGGCTGTAATGGAAAAGAGACATTGGAAGCTTCATGCACTGTTGGGAGGGATGTAAAATGGTGCGACTGCTTTTGGAAACAGTTTGACGGTTCCTTAAACGGTTTACACAAAGAGTTGCCATATGACCCAGCAATTAATTCCACTTCCGTATCTATACCCAAGAGAAGTGAAAACATAGTTCAAATATTTGTACATCATTGTTTATAGAAGCATTATTAATAATAGCCAAGAGGTAGAAACAACCCTAATGTCCACAGCTGATGAGTGGATAAATGAAATGTGGTCTACACACAATGGAATATTATTCGGCCGTAAAAAAGGAGTAGTGATGCATGCTACAGCATAGATAACCCTTAAAAACATTATGCTAAGTGAAAGAAGCCCGTCACAAACAACCATTGCATGATTCCATTTATATGAAATGTCCAGAATAGGCGAATCTATAGAGACAGAAGGTAGACTAGACTAATGGTTGCCTATAGCTGAGGGATGAGAGATGTAGGGGGTGGTGGCGAAGAGGTGTGGGGTTTATTCTTGGGGTCATGAAAATGTTCTAAGATTGACTGTGATGATGGATGCACAACTCTGAATATAATATACTAAAAACTGTTGAGTTGTACATGTTAAAGGAATGAATTGTACAATATGTGAATTATATCTCAAAACTGTTTTTTTTAAAAAATCAATAACAATTCAATAGGAAAATAAGCAAAAGTCTTATCCACACATTTCATATAAGAAGAAACATGTATACACAATAGATACTTGAAAGGTGCTCAACCTCATTTCTAATCAGGAAAATGCTAATTAAGCCACAGTGGAATAGCATTGAATACTCACGATTCACAGAAATTGTAAACTGAGGCAATACTGCTTGTCCACATGTAGAGATGTGGAGAAGTGGGGATGCTCATGCACTGCCAGAGGGAGTGTAAATTGTATGATCACTTCGGAAAACATGATGGCATTAGAGAGTTGAAGATGCAAGTGTTTATGGCCCAGCAGTTCCCCTCCTAAGTGTATACCCAAAGAAATTCTACCAGTAGTATACTGAGATCGCATATGTAATTACAGGAGCATGACAAAATTCAAAGCCACATAAAACTCAACAGTATATTATATAGGGGTATAAAGATCATAAATCTGTTTTTTTTAAAGCAAACAAGGGAAGGATAAACACAAAATTCAGGAATGGTGAGAATGGGAAAGAACTGGGAGGGTCTAGCAGGGATGCAGGGTAATGGTAAAGTTCCTTTTCTTAAACCAGATGGTGGGCATATAGGGGTATGTTGGGATTGAGGGGTTGAGGAGAAGGCAAAGTATTATCTGACAATCTGACATTGAGGGAAAATTTAGAAAAACTCAAAAGCATACATGGAAGAATTCTTTCATGCACTTTAAAAATGCTAATAATACACTGTGTTTCTAGAAAAGATGGACATATTTAGCATTTTTTAATTTGAAAAGCAAAAGATAAAATGTTTTTGTACAAGAGAAAAAAGGAAAGAGAACAACACAGAAAAGAAGCAGCAGTAGAACCAGGAGTATTTTAGGAAGGTTTCCAACAACAGTGGTTAAAATTCAGAGCTTTGCGACCAGGCGCGGTGCCTCACACCTGTAATCCCAGCACTTTGGGAGGCCGAGGCGGGCGGATCACGAGGTCAGGAGGTCAAGACCATCCTGGCTAACACGGTGAAACCCCATCTCTACTAAAAACACAAAAAAACTAGCCGGGCGTGGTGGCGGGCGCCTGTAGTCCCAGCTACTCTGGAGACTGAGGCAGGAGAATGGCATGAACCCGGGAGGCGGAGATTGCAGTGAGCCGAGATCGCGCCACAGCACTCCAGTCTGGGTGACAGAGGAAGACTCTGTCTCAAAAAAAATTAAGAGCTTTGCACTTGGAGGCGAACTTCATTTATTTGGGCCACCACTTCTTGATTCTTCTGTGATGTTAGATAAACCAGACATTGCTGCCTGTAAGTAAAACCTCATGCTGTCATTTCATTCATTTCATGGTTGCCTTTCTCTTTTTCAGATCCTGCTCACACTAAAAGATGAACCACAAACACACAGAGAAACAACTTGTTCACCACTCCTGGGTGCGTGACTGAGGGTGAAGCATCCACCAGCACTTCAAGGGGTCCATAGTATTTTCTTTTGCTGCCTCAAAGTCCCCAAAGCCTTCAAGCAGAAGTGGCAGTAGATGGTTGCCAATCAGCCAATGCAGACTTTCACTGGGACAACAGGAAAGCAGATCTTCTGGGTTTTGATGGAACTTGGCAGTGGGGACATTGAGCTGATGCATTATATACCCCATCAGAGCACACGTGTATCTTTTCCCCTCCCTTTGCCCCATGCCCCCAACCTGCTTAGGTCTTCTCTGTCCCTTTACTGCTGCCGCACAGAGATGATATAAAAGAGGCTCTTTGGCTATTTGTATTTTGCTTCCTCTTCTTTTCCAGATTGCAGTATGAAGCTTTATTTTCTTTGTACAAGCTTAAAATTCCAACATCATCGTCCACCAAAGTTGCTCCTCCCTTTTCGGAGGGTCTGGGGGAAGGAGGAGCATTGATCACAAGTTTCCTAGAGAGAGGAGACAAATTGGTGTACTGTTGGCAACAGGAGCCAGGCTAAAGGCACCCTTTGGAATTACTGATTTCAAAGATTAATAAAGTAATTCTATTTTTATTTTCTTTTTTTTTCCCCCTTTACTAATTTCCCAACCATCAATGTTCACAAACAGGACTGAAGTAGAACCAGTTTGTTATTTTACTTTGTTGCTGGGCAATTTTTTAAACTTCCTTTTAGAAATGTGAGCTGTAAAGAGATGTTTTATTTTTACATTTCATTTCAGCAGATGGTGGGTCCAGGCTATTCCCAGAGGCAGCTCCCGCACCTGGGGAGCGGGCATGTGCAGAGGTCTCCATTATCAGCCCTGAACAGGCAGGCTCCCTCACAGCGTGGGCCTCCAGTGGCTTGAGCCCTGCATCCAGTTGCACGTTGCATACCTCGCAGTTCACCGGAGTGATGCAGCACAGCCCCAGGGCTCTCCCCTCAAGCCTCCGCCGTCTCTCTTCCTCCCCTTTCCTATGTCGTCTGTCTCTGGCTTCTGCTAGAGAAAAGGTTGAGAGGTGGCCGGCAGAGTTCACTGAAGGATTAACTTAGCTGCCCTGGGGAGTTATCGAGGGAGAATCCAGAGTCTGGGGCTTCTTCAACAGGGTCCTATAGACTCAGCATTGAAATCCAAAAAGAAAATTGACACCTGGCCAGGCGCGGTGGCCCATGCCTATAATCCCAGCACTTTGGGAGGTTGAGGCGGGTGAATCACGAGGTCAGAGTTCGAGACTAGCCTGGCCAAGATGGTGACACCTCGTCTCTAATAAAAATACAAAAATTAACTGGGCGCAGTGGCAGGCGCCTGTAATCCCAGCTACTCGGGAGGCTGAGGCAGGAGAATTGCTTGAACCTGGGAGGCGGAGGTTGCAGTGAGCCGAGATTGCGCCACTGCACTCCAGGCTGGGTGACAGAGCAAGACTCCGTCTAAAAAGAAAAAAGAAAAATGGACACCTAAAAGGACAGAAAAGGGACTTTATTGCCTTCTTAGTGAATGAAAACAAAGGTTTTGGCGCATAGATACATTTTGTTTGCTTGTGAAGGATGAAGTCTGTGGGTTTCAGGAGAGAAGTGAGAACGCATTTCAGATGTCCCCAGGACTGGAGAGTAGTTTCAGGACCACCTTAACTATGAGATTGACAGGTTTCCTAGAGAGAGGAGACAAATTGGTGTACTGTTGACAATATGAGCCAGGGTAAAGGCACCCTTTGGAATTACTGATTTCAAAGATTAATAAAGTAATTCTATCTTTTTTTTCTTTTTTTTTTAGGGGACAAATTAGAATTCCTCCATAGTCCCCTGTTGAGGTGTAGAATTGGAAAATAAGGGGTTTGGGAGGACTCACCACATGAATCTTGTGACAAGGGAAAAGAGTATGAGTCCAGTAAAAGAAATTTTAGGCTATAGTGCTTGAAATTGCCCTAGGTAACCAATCAGAATGAAGTCTTCAGCTGATTTGTTGCTGCACTTACCGTATGCTGATCAGGTGCTAAGACACCAGATCTCTCCCTTCATGTGTCCAAGTGCTTTCAAGTCATTTTTACTGGGACTGGACTTCACTCGGCAATAAACCAGACAGATCCTATGAGCCCTCCTCCAACGGAGGTGATATTTCCAACACCACTCTTTACCCTCCCCCTAAACAAGCGTCGATTTTTGAAGACAGACAGTGATTCAAGTTTCTGTAGCACCTGTCAGTAATGTGTAGAATGCGGGGGCTGACTCCCGACCCCTGTCCCTATTTGTGTCTGCTGCCTAACCTACAAGTAGAGCTCTGAAGAAAAAGACCATTTGGAATCGCACCACGTTCTGTTTGCTTTGGAATACTCCAGGAAATGTATCTAGCTGCCCTGGTTCATTAGGATGAACCGCAGGCCAACGTTTTAGCGAGTACTATAAAGGTGGATAAAAGAGGGTTTCATCTGGGGCCAGAAAAATTACTTCCCTTTTCTATATTGAAGCCTCAAGTAAGGACAAGTGATGTCAGGTATAATGCACCACTTCTCAAAATGTGTTAATAGTTTTGAGGCAACCTGGACCCTACTGCAGTCCTAAAGGTACCTCTAGAGCTGCAGCCTGAAACTGTACATTTTTAATAAACCCTTGGGGGTTATCATGCCCAGTGAATTTGAGAATGGACCTCAGATGAATAGACTGATGCTGGGACAGCAGCAGCCCTTGGCTGACAGGCTGAGCTTACTGCATCCCCTCTCTGTGCCCCTGGGCTCCCTGGAGCAAGACGGAATATAATCCCGTCAGCCAGGATTTCAGGACAGGGACATAGCCCTCTGAACGATGGTGGAAGTCAGTGGGTGCCACATGGGATGACGACTGAGAGAGAAACCCTTAGAATTGGCTGGGCGTGGGCAAAGCAGGGGAAAAAAGGTGCTGAACAAACTCCCTTCAGTCTTGGAGAACTCCACAAGGAACAAGGGACACACACATGTATACACACACACACACAGGCACGAACACATCAGACACATCCTTCAGCCTGCACACTTCAGCTTCAGATGGAGTTCTCTTGTACTAGTGGCAAACTGATCTCACTAGAGGAATGTGTTTCTCAGGAGCTGCTAGATGGCCCCTTGCTCTGTGCCCACTCACTGTGGACGTCCCTACCACAGTGGGATCCACGGCCTCACTCAGAAGAGAGCTATGGTTCCCGGATCCCTGAGAAGAGGGCCATAGTCTGAAAAGGGGTTCCTGGTTAGCTCTTTTAGGCTTAGCCTGATAACAGAATTCACCTCATATTTTTACGCCATTTGCCATACACATTTTCTCTCATTCTCAACTGATATGGGTGGGGGGAGATTTTCAAAAACGGTGAGGTTGGTAATTTGTGGATAGACCGTGTTTCCATAGGCAAGGGTTCACACCAGGGGATTCTGCCCACAGGTATCTGGAGGTCAAATTCGTATGCTTTCTGCCAATCCGAGCCGCTGCCTCTGTCTCTGAGAATAATATACTCTGCAAGAAGGAAAGACGCACAAGCAATAGGGCAGTCTTCTCAGGTGGCGGAAGCGTGCCCCCGTGTAAGGGTGGTTGCACTAAGCAATGCGTTTGGTGATTGAGAGAGTCTCTGCCCCAGATTCTGGTTACCTCGGATTAGTAGCCGTGGACATGGAATTAAAAAAAGGTTAATTGAAGGGTCTTTATCGAATCAGACATACACCTTAGAATAAGGCTTTTACTGTTCTAGAAACAATCTTCCAGAAGATGAAATCATCCAAGATTCCCCAAAAATATTTATTTATACAAAGATTTTGAGAGTAATATTCATATTTGTCTTTATACCTCAGTCTATGCGTCTGGGGCCAAGTCACTGTGTGGCACATGTGCAGCTTCCCCGAATGCCTCACATGTTGTAGCACCTGCTTCCAGGAAGACCAAATGAACACAGGGTCTTGGAGGGGAAGGGGGGAAGAACCCATAATGCCCCAAGGCTGCGTGGAACCACAATCCAGAAATGTGCACCCTGACCTGGAAGGCGTCTAACCAAGTGTCCGAGGGGAAATACGATCGAGGGAGAGTGGAGAGGAGGGGCCCAGAGGGCAGACAGGAGAGGGTTGATTCCCACCCTTTGCTTCTTCGTTCAGCATATCCAGAAGGCCCGATATAGTCGACGGCCTAGGAACTGCATGACCTGCATTTTCTCCCTGTAGTGACCCATGATGTTAATTGATGTAGAGGACAGTTTGCAAAAGTAATAGATTAACCCTTAATCCCAGACAGTATGAGATACAATTCTGGGACTTTGTCTTCGTAACCTGTCTTTAAAAAAAAAAAAAAAAAAAATGCTTGCCTTGTATAACATAATCCAGATTCCCTAGAGCAGATTTGGTACAGCAATGAGCAAATCCAACCTCAGATCTGAAGTGTCTTCCAGTCTGGCCCTGACCTGGCCATTCTCTGCCCTTCCTCCTCCCTTTAGGGTAGCCCAAATCCCATTGCCACACAACGTCTCGACTTGCCATCCCTTTCCTCTATCCCCATCCCCTCTGTCTGCATCACAGAAAGTCTGTGTGTTCTGGAGTTCAGCCTTCCTCTAACCAAACCCACACTTTCTTTACCACCATGATTCTCAGAGCCAGCAAGAAAGAAATGTTCCAAAAGGAAACCTCCATCTCAGCCATCTGCCCGGAGCCGAAGGTTGTGGGCTCCAGGCCTCTCGGTGAGGTTTGTTGCTTGTGTGTTTCCCGAGGAGCGGGCAGTCAGGCAGTGGCAGTTCTCTCTCCCCTCTCTCTGTCGCAGGTGGGGTCTCAGCTACATTTACAAGACTTCACCACCATGTTGGAGAGCTGCTCCACCTTGGGGGTCCTCCCAACATAGTACAGGATGGTCAGGGGCTCCAGGTCCTGGGGCACGCAGCAAGGCGAGGCAGATGCTTCGGGGTTCAGAGTGTTGTACAGTCCCAGCACCTGGGAAGGGACACGTCAGTGAGAGGTTGGAAGGTCAAGCCTCAGGCCTGGAACCCAGGAACTCTCCCAGTTCAAGGGCAGTCCCAGAGGCTGAGCAAGCGCTAGAATGGTCACGGGTGCTCTTTAAAAGGAACTGTTGGGGGCCGGGCACAGTGGCTCACACCTGTAGTCCCAGGACTTGGGAGGCCGAGCAGGCAGATCACTTGAGGTTAGGAGTTTGAGACCAGCCTGGCCAGCATGATGAAACCCTATCTCTACTAAAAATACAAAAAAATTAGCCGGCTGTGGTGGCAGGCGCCTGTAATCCCAGCTACTTGGGAGGCTGAGGTGGGAGGATCACCTGAACCCAGGAAGCAGAGGTTGCAGTAAGCAGAAATAGTGCCACTGCACGCCAGTCTGAGTCACAGAGTGAGACTCTGTCTCAAAAAAAAAAAAAAAGAGGAACTGTTGGAACCTGGTTTGGGTGAGTGAGTAGTTGGGTAGCTGTTGTTCATCCGCAATGACAGAAGCAGAATAACTGCACTTGTTTGGGGTGATCAGTTGAAGCATATGACAGTTACTACACTGATAATGAATTATCTTGGCTTTTTTTTTTTTTTTTTTTGAGTCAGTCTCACTCTGTCACCCAGGCTGGAGTGCAGTGGTGCAATCTTCTCTGC